AGGGTGTGGCCTGAGTTGAGGAGGGTGTGGCCTAAGATGAGGGTGTGGCCTGAGCGCCCCTTTTCATTTTATAAAAGCAGAAGCAGCGGCACAGGCAAATTCATGTTCGTGCAAGGTCACATAGCTAGATAATAAAACAGCTCTCTCTCTCTCTCTCTCTCTCTCTCTCTCTCTCTCTTCTCTTTGTTAAGACACCTACCAGTGCATCCAAAATGCCTACAATGGGCAAGCAGGAGTTTAATAAATATCCTGTTAGAGAACTTATGGCCTGTGCCTGATCTCTGTACCACAGTCCTGGTCCTTGGTCCATTACTCCCACTCTCTCACTCCTCACACAGGTGGGGAAGGTGAAAGAATAGAGGGCATTAGTAAATGGGGACAGCTCAAGTGCCCTGCCTACATCCACAGGCCAAGGAGGAGCTTACCGTGCTAGGTGTGGCCTCGGAGGGTGTGGCCTTGGAGGACGGGGCCTCAGAGTGTCTCTCCAGGGCACTCTGGTCCTCGGGCTCTGGTCCTAGGTCCTTGTCCAGGGATGGGGGCTGTGGGACTGGCATGGGAGCAGGGGGTCCTGGCAGCGGGCTGGTTATGAGGTGCCCTGGGGTTGGGCTGGGGTCCTGGGGCAGGGCCTCAGCAGTCAGGGGGAGCTCATCCATCCCGAAGATCTGCTCGTAGTGCTCAATGAGGAATTCAACGAGCTGAGCCTGGTGTCCAGAGTCCAGCAGGCAAGCAACAGGGCTGGCACCAGGGGCCCGCGGACAGTCTGGCAGCCGCAGCAGTGTTGGCCCAAACACGATTCCCAAGTTGTTGGCAGACATCTTGTTCTCCTCAAACTGCATGGCCACCCTGGGGGTGGTGTGAGAAGGGTCAGGGGTGGGGTGCAAGGTCATCAATTGAGGGTTGGGGAGGATGTGCGGACCGGCCCACATTCAGGTCATCCTTTAAGACTAGCAGATAGATGTCCAGAGTTGGGGGGTCAAGTGTTAGGGCACTGGGGATTGGGGTCTGGATCTAAAGTTACAAGTCAGAAAGCATGACAGAGGTTAGAGGTCCAGGTTAGCAGTCAGTGTCAGCCACAGAGCGCAGCTGTCACACGTCCAGGGAAGGGGGTTGCATTTGGAGGCTCAGGGACCAGTGCCCACCTGAACAGATGGGCCACCAGGTGCCGCAGGGTGTTGTAGTTAGAGTCGGGCAGCTGTCCCAAGAGGGTCTTCAGCGAGCGGATAACCTCGGGGCTGGGGCTGGGGCTCCCTTGGCTGTCCCCAGGGTCTGCATGCAGGGTCTTAGCCAGAGAGATGAAGGCATCGTAGAAGTGGAAGGGGACCACGGGGTCGGTGAGCTGGGGGTGGAGCAGGCAGGGACATGAGTGTGGGCGGGTGCGAGGGCAGTGGCTGGGGCTCCTACCCTCCAGGCCTCCCACCTCCGCACTCACCTCCTGCAGAAACCGCTTGAGAACGCCCGTGACATCATGAGGCGAGTTTCCTGACAGCTCCACCAAAGCACGGCCGTTTTCAAAGGCTTGGCATAACCGTTCCATACGGATGCGGGACCCGCTAACTCGGTAAATGCCCTGCAGGCCAAGGGGGAAAGGACCACTGGGCTTGTGATCTGGCTCTTCACGGGGGTAGCTCACTTCTGAGGACAGTGGAAGGTCAAGGCCACACCTGCACACCCAGGGCGCGATGCTCTATCTCTTCTGTGCACCTAGTCACCACAAAGGGAACCTCTTCCGGGAAGTCCCTGGGGAGCTGCAGGAAGTCTACTCCAAAGAGGGGCGTCCGGCCCGGGAGCCGCCTGTGTCCGCAGAGGATCAGCAGTGTCTCCAGGCAGCGCTTGTGGCAGGTCAGAAAGCACTGGGAGGAGGCACAGGGAGGGCTCAGGTAAGGGACAGCCGGTCACAGGGGCAGGGGACAGAGCAGGCACAGAAAGGCAACAGGTTCGGGCGGGTCCCTGGGGCAGGAGGTTGCAAGGATCTCAGGGACGGGGTAGGCCATCAGCCGGAGCCACACCTCCTCACACTCGATCCCGCTGACCATGAAGGCTTCACACTCGCGGCACTTGGCTGGGCCCCGCAGCCGCCGTAGCCGGTGGGTTTGAGCCGCGATGGACAGCGTCCACTTCCGGGAGGGGCTGCCCAGTCCGTTCTCTAGCCCATCTCCCAGGTCTGTGGGGACACAGGGTCAGGGGGGTCCACCCTCCTCCCTCCCTGCACCACTTACTGACAGCCTCACCTGGGTCTCGTTCCTCAAAGTCATCTGAAGACTCGGTGCCCGTGGATGCCACCTTCACTAGCCGCCGTGTGACAGAACCTGGGGTCAGAGTGTCACAGAAGGTGGAATAGGTCTCAGGGCTCAAGGACAGATTCCATGATCCCCACGAGGGGAGGGGTCAGAAGTCAAGAGGAGTCTGAGAGGTCAAAGGTTAAGGGTAGGACAATGGTCAGGGGCAGAGGATACAGGCTGGGACAGGGTGGTCAGCAGGTGAGCCAGAGACCGAAGCTCAGACCTGGTCAAGACCGGGAGGGTGGCTGGGGTTGGGTGGGGAAGGTCAGGCCTGCCTTACCCGGGCTGGAGGTAGGGGAGTCCAGGGACTGAGACTCGCTGCCACCACCTACACTGTCCACATCACTGCCTGGAGGGCCACCCAGAGTCCCTGGTGGGAGGCACAGGTCAGGAAGGAGGGCCCTGCATTGTGCCACACCCCAGCCGCCTGCACCCACCTGTCCAGCCGGTGCCTGTGTCCTCCCAAGCGCCTGGCTCGGCGGAGCTCTCATCCTGCCGCAGAAGTGGTGGTCCTGAGAGCTTCTTTCTGGTGTCCGGAGGGAAGCTGGGAGGAGAGGGCCATAAGGGTTCCATCCCAGGATACTGGGCCACAACACGCTGGCTCAACTCCTAAGACTTGGGTCTGCAAGCCCCGATGCCCATAAGCATGGTAGCCCCGAAGTTCTGACCCTCCCAGGACTGGGACTCCCCAATAAACCCTTGAGTTGTGAAGACAAAAAATTGATGTTCTTTGAGGTTCAGAGTTCTCCGACCTCAGGGGCTCAGGCAGGCCCATGGTGCTAACAGCCTGTCATCCACCCAGGCTCACATGCCCTGGCACCCCTGGGGTGTACCTGTGCCTGGCAGGTGCAAACTCCTGGAAGGAGAAGGCAGACGGTGGAGGCGGTGGAGCGTCAGGCTGCAGTGTCCTCACGAACTCCTGGTAGCGCTGGCCCGGCTCGAAGGGTGCACAGCACTCAGCAAGGGCGGCGAAAGAGCGAGGGCCCCGTTCTGCCTGCTTCCTGTGCAGCCCAAAGAGCACCAGGGTCACCTGAGGGGTGCAGACTGAGTCACAGGGGGCCCTAGACCCGGGAAGAGCCACGTGGGGCGGGGCCTGAATACGGGGTGGAGCCAGCTGGGGTGGGCCGGGCACTGGGCAGAACCACGTGGGGGGAGCTATCTTGGGGCGGGGCCTGGATCTGGGGGAGGAGCCATCTCAGGACAGAGCCTGGATCTGGGGAGGAGCCAGTCAGGGATGAGCGGGGCTGATGCTTAGAAGTGGGCTTGGGGCAGGGCTAATCACAGTCTCTACAAGAGACTAGGGCAGCCCTCTGTCCAGGCTGACTCCTCGGGTGCAGGACGAGTCAGGTGAGTCCTGGGGGTCCAGAGCGTGGCCTGGAGGATGAGGGAAGATGGCTGTGCACCAGGGCCGCACCCGTCTCAGCACTTCATCACCCTGCAGCACCAGCTTGCGAATGTGGGACACGATCCGCTGCTTGGCAGTCTCCAGGTCCTGCTGCCGCGCATTGGCCTCCCGGACGCAGGCCTGGTACAGGGCCTCGGCCTCCTGCGCCTGGGGAGACCGAGGCCAGGGAGAGGCACATGTGAGGACAAGCAGGGAGCATGGTGCCAATGCCAGAGGATGCGGCTACAGGTCCCCACCTTGGCCTGGGCCTCCTCTCGCGAGCGCCGTTTCCGCTCCTGCTGTTTGCTGGGCCCAGGGGACGCCTGGGGGGGCGGGTCCTCGGGGGACCCCTGCGAGCGTGCCCGCAGGTCCTCACAGCGCTGTGTGTACTGGAGCTGGGCCCGCCGCAGCGCCTGCAGTGCCTCGTTCTGGGAGCCATGGGGGTGGTCAGAGCCGGGCCTCTCCTCCCTCAGCCGGCAGCCCACCCACGGAGGCCCTCACCATCCGCTTCTGCTCCTTCAGCCACTGCTCTTTGAACTCCTTCCGCCACTTCTCCACCTCCGTCCGCTTGGCAGCCAGGGGCTGGCAAAGGTAGGGGATGGTGATGGCCACCGACACTGGCTCCTTTCCCTGGAGACCCTTTCTGCTTTTCTGAGAGTCTCGCTATGTAGTCCAAACTGACCCTGGACTTGATTAACAGCCCAGTTTGGGTTTGAAATTGTGATCCCGCCTCAGCTTCCCAGGTGCTGGATTATAGGCAGGCACCATTACACCTGGATTGGATATTTTTCTTCCTTTTCTTTAATATAAATTTAGGACAGGGTCTACAGGGTCTCACTATGTAGATCAGACTCGTAGTGAGTGATCCTTTTGTTTTCAGCCTCCCAAGTGCTGGGATTACAGTTGCATGCCACCACACCTAGTCTCAATCAGCGTTTTAGTGTGCTCCGGGGGAGGGACCAGCATAGCACAGCGTACAGGGGATTGAACCTAAGCAGGGGCTTTAGTCCACTAAGCTATGTGGCTGCCCCTTAAAAAAAAAAAAAAAAAAATTGGTTTCGCTATGTAGCCCAGTTTGGCCTTGAACTCAGGAGGGATCCTTCTGCCTCAGCCTCCCAAGTGCTGGGAATACAGGTGTGCACCACCATACCCTATTGTTCTCTTCTTTTGCAGTGGCAGAGATCAAACCTGAGGCCTTGCACATTACCAGAGCTACCCCCTTTTCTGAGTCTGTTTCCTCAAGGCTTCCAACGCAGACCTGTTCTCCCCAATGCTGGTATTCACACCAAGTGCCTCAGTGGTAAACCAATCTTTTTGTGGGCCCCAGACACACAACATTCACTCTTCTGTTCACAAACAAACAAGACCCGGTTTTGCAATTGCACAGGAAGCTAGCTCTGAATCTCTGCTGGGGAACCTTGGGCAAGTTCCAGAGTGTCTCTGGGCTCCTGCTTCCTCATAAGCAAAATGGCACTGATGGTGGCAGCAACTTCCTCCCGGGGCTGCGGCAGCAGGAAGGGTGGCAGGGTGGCCTTCTCCTCACCTGGTAGTAGTCTCTCTTCTGCTGGGCCAGGGTCTCCAGGGCCTGGACTCCCAGGTTGTAGTCATGCTCCAGAAACAAGGTATAGATGTACTGCATCGGCATGTGGCTCTGTGGGGGTGGGGTGGGGTGCAGGACACTGAGGAGCTGGGGAGAGGAGGGGACATGGGTGCCCTGCTCTGAGCAGGCCCGCTCACAGCTACCTGCTGATGGATGGACGTCTTGCCGGCCTCTGCGATCTTCATGATGCTCTTGATGAACTCCAACTCTGGGCAGGGAGACACATCTAGGTGGGCATCTGCTTGAGGGGTTTCGGGCCCCACCAGGGTCTGGGCTGGGAGGAAGGGGTCCTCACCGTAGTTAGCTCTCTTCTCTGTCCAAGCCAGCAGCTCCTTGGCATAGCGGCTCCACATCTTGGCATATTCCAGAGCGGCATCCACACCCCCCTTGGTCCGAATAAGCCGCAAATCCAGTTCCTCCCCTGGGACAGATGGTTGGACCCCTGACCTCTGACTGTGCCCTCCCAGGGAAGCCTTTCCTGAGTCCTATATGAGATGCCCCTGTTCTGCTTCCCACAGATCCCCGAATTCCCCTTTGGGGATCACTGTCCTGGTTGGTTTTGCAGAGTCCTTACTCAGGTGGGGGCTCCCTAAGGCCAGGGCTCGAATCTGCTGTGTCCCCTGCCCCCAAGCAGCACCTGGTGTGAACAGACTCAGTGATGTCTGGTGTCCCTTTCTGTCCCCAATGGCTTGACCTCAAATCCCCTACCTGTCAGGGGTGCAGGACCCTCTGAGGATGGACAGCTCCAGCAACTGGTGTCACTGGCCTAGGGGGTAGAGAGACAACATTCAGGGACCCTACTGCCCCGAAAGTACCCCTCACCCCCACCGGAGGCCCCCGTCCTGGTACCCCTACATCCCACTCACCACAGCAGCTGTGGTGGCCTTGGCAGGCTCTGGGTTTTCTAAGAGTGCAGTGTCCGCGGCCAGCACTTCGAAGTTCCTGGGGTAGAAGTGTGAGGGTCTCAGCTCCCCCCAAGTCTATTCTGTTGGGGTTGTGTGTTTAGGGGGTGCTGGGACCCTGGGGCAGTTTGGGAGATGACCCTGATGTCACCTGTGTGGTGTCTGGTGTTTGTTATACAGTCTGGAAGGTCTGAAGGATAGGATTTTTAGGGAACCAAGTGAAATGACTTATTTTTAGGGCTTGTAAACAAGTTGAAAGACAGTGGGTACACAGAGTGAGACAGAGGAACTCAGAGGGTTGTTTTTTGTTTTTGTGTGTATGTATGTACAGGGACTGGAACTCAGGACCTTGAGGTTGCCAGGCAGGTGCTGCACTGCTGAGCTTTAGTTCCTGGCCCTAAGTCAGATGTTTTAAGGAGCCACAAGAGGGCTGTGTACAGATAGGTTCTAGGGCCACTTTGAGGTTGCATGTGAAACACCAGGAATGCCACCTTGTATCTCGCAGGTTATTAGGAAAGTGGGTCCAGATGTTGCAGACTCTAGAGTGGGGTGTTCGTGTTTCAGGCCACTTAAATGGGCTAGGGTTTGGAGATTCTGGCAAGATCTGAGGGACCCACGCTCAGACTCACACGTTCCCCAGCGAGATCTCGAGGTTGTCCAGGCTGCGGAAGATATCGCTGTACCTCTTCCTGCCCTCGGGAGCTGGGGCGAGCCCTGGGGAGGGTGTGATAGTGGCCTGACCACTGCCTCCCTCTGCTCCCGGAACCACAATCTGCACCTTAATAGGGTCATGGTTACGGTGAGAGGGAGAAAGACCTGGCCAGGAAGAGCGGGGCAGGCGGGGTCAGGGCCCAGGCGGGCCGGCCAGCCCGGCAGATGGGTTGCACAGCCGAGCAGGCAGCTGCACAGAGGAGCAGACACCCACGCGGGCGAGCACACAGCGCCAGATGCCGCTCCACCGTCCCCAAGGAGAGGGGGCCGGTGACAATGAACCACATGGACTCGAACCAGACAGATGGATACACACGTGGGACATCAGGCACAGAGCCTCCGGCATAAACACGGCCAGACGGCAGCCACGAGGGACGCGGGGGAGAACACCGGGTGAGCGGCACAAAGACAGCCGTCCCGGCCCGTCAGTGCCCAGTGCAGGCTGCTCCGGCCGTGGGGAACCCCTGTGCTCACTGTCACCGCGGTCGCGACACCCTGCCCCCATCGCAGCGATCAGAAGCAGAAGCGGCCACTTCCCCTTCCTGGCCCCTTCTCGGCGTCCGGGGTGCTGGCTTGGACGGGGCCCGGAGGCGTGGTGTCGCGGGCTGGTGAGCCGGGCCCCTTCTGATCTGGGGGCTCTGCGACGGGGACCCCCGCATGCGCTCCATTCAGAGCTTACTTCCCCGCTTTCGGGACGGAGAGGGACAGGCAGGGCTCCCCAGATGAGGAAGTGGGGGAATGGTGTGGGCTCCCCCGATTCCGGGCCCCAGACTCCTTACCTGGCTCCGGGGCGTCCATGGCCAGGCGCGGGCACCGCTCGGCGGGGCGACCGGGACCGGACAGCTGGGCGCGGGGACCGTCTGGGTTTCCTGCCACCGCCGCCCCGCCCCGGCCCCGCCCCGGCCCCGCCTCCCGGAAGCCGCAGCCCGCGCCGCCAATTCCCGCTCCGCCTTGGCCTTCCAGACCCGGCCCCGCCCACCTCCGCGAGTGCGTGGAGCCCAACATGCTTCTCTGCCCGGCCTCCTACTCCTTGCGACCCGTGACCTCCGTGCCCTGAAGCCTGCTGGGTCCTTGAACCCTCGCCGACCTAACCCAGCGCCAGAGCTCCACACTGCACGGAATCTGAGGTCCCCGGAACCCGAGCGATCCGCAAAGCTGACTCTTGAACCCCCGCCCGTAGCGAAACTGGGAGTTGAAACCAAGGCCTTCATACTGCGCCATACCCCCTACTTTTATTTATTTCTATATTTTTAAGAAAGCGTCTTGTGAAGTCATGAGATCACCACACCTGGGCTTGAATTTGGGCTGGTCCTTCCTCAGCCTCCCAGAGCGCTGTGATCACAGGTGTGGCGCGGCTCCTAGGGGCAGGGACACAGACCCCTTCAGGGTTCTTTTGGGGTCGGGGACTCTCCATCTACGCGCTGTGACTGCAGCTGGGGCCCTGACCCCAGCGATGCGGTCTGTCTCCCAGTGCCATTTCCCCGGGCTGCGCCCCAAAGCAGGGCAGGAGGGACACAGCCTCAGCCAGGAAGAGACCTGCCTGCAGCCAAGCTCCACTCTGGAGGCGCGAGCCGGGCCTGCGCTGCTCATTTCCTTCCCTTTCCCTCCTTCCTTTTTAAGGCTTTCACACTGAGCTGTACCCCAGCTGTCTTTTTACATTGAGAAAGTTTTTTTTTTTTTTTTTTTTTTTGTGGCACCCGGGATGGAACGCAGGCCCTGGAGATGCACCTAGTGCTCTAAGCATTCTCCCTGGCCCCCGAGAAGGGGTCTTGCTTGGTTGCTGAATTGCCCAGGCTGGCCTCAAACCTACAACCCCCTTGTCTCTGCCTCCTGGACTGCTGGGATTGCAGGTACGCACCACCTCTCCCCGCTATTCTGCTATTGAGCTGTGGTATGCGTGTCACCCTGTGAGCAACAGGATGTGCCTGTAATCCCAGCTACTCAGCAGGAGGGACTGCAGCTTTGAGGCCAGCCAGGGCAGCTCCGTGAGATCCAAGGTCTCAGGGGCTCAGCAGCAACGCACTTGCCAAACTTGAATCCAACTCCAGCCTAAGAAAGATGACAAAGGATGTCTGTCCACGGGGCCACAGCCTGGCTGTGAGCTGCTACATGTTAGGACTCCATTGTGCCCGAGACCTTAGGGTGTGAAAAGCACTGCCGTGCCACGAGCGCGAGCTGCACCAGCAGACGCCGGGGTTCCAGCTGCAGTGTGAGCTGCTCCAGACAGTACAGAGGAGGCAGAGGCGGCTTAAAATCTCGGGGCTGCTTTATTTACCAAAGGTGCCGGCCCGGGGCTGGTCCTGCTAGCAGGGCCGGTGGACATGGGGGCCCGGCTCGGCCTTACACTGTTGGCTGTGGGGGCCGCGGCCCCTCCCCGGGCCCTGGAGGGGCTTCTGCCTGGCGTGCGGCAGCCTGGGTGAGCGGTGGGTACCAGCACCGCCATGTCAGGAAGGCACTTTCAGCTTCGGGGCTCCCAGGAGGTACTGCAGGATTCGGTCGGCCAGGAGCGCCAGGCAGAAGTCCAGGAGCAGGACCTGGGCAATGACCAGCTTGAACTGTGGGGTGGGAGGCAGGTGAGTCAGGGAGCTGCACCAGGGTCAGGTGGAATGCTGAGCCACCCACCCAGGCCACCCACCTCCACAGGGATGTCCACGAGGCCGAACTGGCTGTTGAAGTCAGGGGAGGAGCCGAGCAGCAGGCCCACGATGGCCAGGAGGGACACGGCCAGGCTCCACAGCAAGGGCTTGTTCTCGGGCAGGCTCTCCATGAAGGGTGGGCCCTGTGGGGACCCAGGGGTGTTGGCTGAGTGTGGCCGAGGCTTGAGGGCTCCGCTGGGGTCGGGGGTGGCCTCACCTTGTAGTTGATGGCAAAGGTGGCCATCTGCATGGCCATGGCCATGATGTACACGGTGCTGTTGACCAGGCTGGGCTCAAATTCCTTGTACAGGTCTACAAACTGCTCCTGCCTACAGGGCCACACCGGGTCAGGTCCTCCCTGGCCTCATACCCTGCAGCACCCAGGTGACCCCGGTGCCACCCGCCACTGCCCACCATGGGGTAACACTCACTTCTCTGGGCTCCGGGCCTGGGCCTCCTGGTACAGGTACACGAGACTCAGGAAATGTACAGCGAACTGCAGCATCACGGTGAGCACCGTGTACAGGTTGAAGATATTGGGCAGGGGCCGCTCACGGGACAGGGTCTTGAGGGGCTGCAGTGGCAGGGCTGGAGGTCAGGGCCACTCGCTGGGGCCACCCTGTCCTCCTGGGAGCCTGCAGCACCACTGTCACCCAACCTGAGAACTGGGTGGAAGCTGCCGTCCCTGCTGCCCTGTGCTCTGTCAGCCAGCTTGGCTTTGCTTTCATGATGGGGACAGCACTTGGGGTTTCAGTATTACAAAGGACTTCACTAACTTGCCCACGCTGGCCTTGAACTCCTGACCCTCCTGCCTCAGCCTCCTGGGAAGGTGCAAGGAACCAACTAGTGCGGCCTGGGTCTCAGACCCTAGCTGTCTATGAGGCTGCCCCTGCTTCTCCACAGCACTGCAGACCCTGACAACTCTTGAGAGATCGTTTCCCATCTGTCCCCTCCTCACCTGTAGGGCTGTGAGGCTACCCCAAAGCTGTGCCAACCCTGATGTGGCCCCCACATCCGGCCTCTGGACCCCACCTGTCACATGTGGGTGACAATTCCCACCCACAGACAGCATGTGGTTCCCCCCCCTCCCGCTGGCCACCTTGGAGCGGGAGATGAAGAGGAAGCAGCCGGCCAGCAGCAGCCCCTGCAGTGTGGCCTGGAAGTCGCTGAACTTGACACCCTCCAGGTAGAGGACGCTCTGGCTGTAAGCCAGGATGAGGGCGTTGAGGGCCAGAATCTTGAACATCTGCAGCGTGGTCACCAGTGTGCAGCGACCCTGCTTGATCACGTGGCAGACTGGGGCGACAGGTGGCATGTGAAGGGTGAGAGGGGAGCCGCGGGGTGCGGGGCAGGGGTGGGGCGGTGTGGGGTGCGGGCAGCAGGACTCACTGCACTGGATGGACGAGAGCTTGGAGGTGAAGGGAGCTGCGATGCTGGCATCACCCAGCTTCACGATGGGGGCACTCTCGTCCTCCAGGTCGCGCAGCACCTGGCTCAGGCGGTCCTGTGGGGGCAGCGGGTCAGCCCCGTGGAAGAGCAGCGGGGCGCCACCACCTGTGCCCGCCCCACTCACCCTTTGCGAGGCCGGCTGCTCTTCAGGGGGCGGGAGCCCCGACCTCTGCCTGGCTGTCCTGGAGGAAGTCCTGCCGCTGCTGCTGTTCAGGACTGGGCTGTCCCGAGGCCGCCGCCGCCGCTCAGTGACGCGCTCGGGGGCATTGGCTAGGAGTGCCACCCCTGGAGAGACAGGACAGGGTGCAGGCTCACCCCAGGTGCAGTTGTTTCCTGCTCCCCAAGCCCCAAACAAACCCACATCCTGATATGCCCAAGGGACCCACTCACTGTCCTTGAGCTATGTAGGACTCAGGCCCTTGCGCCTGCCAGGGAAGCACTTATTCGACTGAGCCATCTCCCCAGCCCCATGCCACGTAGGAAACCAAGCAGCAAACATAAGCTGAGATAAACGAGGAGTTAAACCTACCCTGGCTGCCAGACGCGGACTGTTCGAAGCCTAATCTGAGAAGGCAGGCGAGGCTTTACGCACGCAGCACAGAAATGCCGTAGTGCTGCTATGGGGCAATATGCCTCAGGTGGGACTCGACTTTGCGACCCTGCCTCAGCCTAAGTGCCGGCATTTCAGTAGGGTCTCCCCAGTCCCGCTCAAGGCTGTGACCACGGGCTCTTTCGGCCACCGGGTATTGGAGCCTGCTTGCCTCTCCTGACACGCTTGTGTCCTTTAGGGACTTCCCAGGCACTCCCTCAGGGCCAGTGTCCCCCCCCACTCACCCACATCGGCATGCTTGAGTGCGCCCACGTCATTGGTGCCGTCCCCGCACATGAGCGTCACATAACCCAGTTCCTTCAGGCTGGTGATGACGAACTCCTGCGGGTAGGGAGGGACTGAGCAGCTGAGTGGGACTCCAGGCCCACCCTGCCCCGGCCCCCCACGCACCTTCTGCTTGGGGGCCACACGGGCGAACACCTGCACGTGGGGGATGAGGTGCAGCAGCTGCGGGGGGTCGCTGGCCTGCAGGTGGGCCAGGCCGTCGCCTGTGAGGCACAGGGCGTGCTCATGGGCCAGCACCTTGGGGGAGCCTGGGGTCAGGGGCAGCACGATGCTGCCGTCGATGGAGCGCCATGTGCATGGGCCACCTGGGGATAGCATGGGACAGGGATGCCTGCTGGCTACTGTCCTGTGCAGGGCCTGCTTAGGGACGCCCTGCCCACAGCCTTGCCCGTACATACAGACAACCCACAGACCCGACCCATCCGCCAGGCCCCACTCCTTGCTCTTTCCTCCTCCACGGCTCCTGGCCAGGACACAGACACGCGGACATGATGGCCCCCAAACCTCCTCGGGCTCTGGTCCTGGCTGTTTAGCTGTACCAGCTTGGCCTGTGAGGCTGCAGACACTGCCTGGCTGGGTCCCCACCTCTGCCCCACCTGGCCCTGTGAGTGCTTGTCCCCTACAGCCCGAGATTCTCTGGCTTCCTGTGGGCCTACTTAGGACCCCTCTGCCAGGTCCTGCATGGTGGGGACCCCTTGCTATGGTGACATCCAGTGCCTGGGGAAGGTAGGTTTACTCCTGTACCCCTTCCATCTACAGAGCAGGTGCCCACAGCTGGCCCAGCTGGCTTCCTGGTCTGGGTATGGGGAGACAGGCTGTCCAGAGTGGAGCGGAATGGGTGTGCTGGGCACAGCCCCAGGAGCAGTACCACCAAGGAGGGTGCCCCAAACCCAGGCTGGGTGACCACTGGCATCCGCACAAACCACAGATCACAAACCAGCGACCCAGTGACTGATGATGGATGAGGCTGAGTCCTTCTCTGAAGGGTGGAGGCGAGGGGCTGGACCAAGGATAGGGGCTGAGCCCGCGGGCAGAAGCAGTTGCTGGACCATCACCCCCCACCCCCAACCCCCACGGCACCCCAGCTACCCGGGGCTCACCCTTCTCTGAAGGGGGCTGCAAGATGAGCGTGTGAGCCTTCTCAATGAAGCGCAGCTCCTGCGCCACATGGCAGGCGGTGAGCGGGTTGTCTCCTGTGATCATGACCACCTTGGGGGCAGGGCGGGCCTCAGCAGGGCAGATGCCGGCTGGAGACTGCCCATCACAGCTCCTCGTGTGGGGGCTGCGGAGGGAGTCCCTGAGAAGGCCACGGCTGCCCCCTTCCCAGGCCCCCGCCTCAGTTTCTTCTCTGGTGGGCTGGTAGGTGTGTGTGTGTGTCTTTGAGGTACCAGGGTGAAGGCCCTGCCTCTCAGAGTGCTGGAGGAGCCCTGTGGGTGACGTGGGATGAGGCAGCACGGGCTGGGGCAGCGGGCACTTCTGCTGTGACCACAGGGCTGGGGCTGGGGCTGTCCCCGCCCACCCTGCCCTTACCCGATGGGATGCATTCTGGATCTCTCGGATCACAGCCTTGGAGTCAGCCTTGAGTGGGCAGGAGACCACAATGAAGCCAACGAATTTGAGGCTGCACTCCAGGGCCTCCCGTTTGACTTCCCGAGCCTGTGGATAGACAGGGCACCTCAGCGTGTCCCCGCCTCCCACCACACTGTGCTCTGTGCCTTATGGGCCAGGAGTGGAGGGAAGGGGGGCAGGCACCCCATTACACCTCTCCCTGCTGACTGGAGAGGGGCTGATCTTTACCCCTCCTAGCACACAGTAGCACCACCATGTGGCAAGACCTCACCCTCAGGGAGCGCGTGTAGCATCAGGACAGGTGGCAGCAATGGGGCACAGGGCCAAGGGATGGCATGTACAGAGGAGGCCCTCAGGAACAGCCACCCTAGGAGGTGGGGCTGGTACCCTGGGGAGCAGGGGGCTCTGAGTGCAGTAGTGAGGCAGGGACCAAGCTGCAGGTAGGACTTGGCTCTGCACCTGCTGTAAGTTCTAGAAGCATCTGTGGCTGGGGTGGGGGAGGGGACTGCAGAGGAGGACAAGGGCCCAGTGCTGAGGATGGCACCACTTACCTGCTGGTGGGTGAGGTGCCCCAGCTCCTTGTACCCCAGGGCCAGCACACGGGCACCCTCACGGGAGATCTCGGTGTGGATGTGGTGATAGTCGGGTGGGCACTGGGCGAACTACAGGGAAGGCAGCACCATCAGTGGCTGCCCGTGCCCTCCCCGCCCCCAGGCCGAGGCCGGCTCACCATGGAGTGGAGGGTTTCAGGGGCCCCCTTCACAGCCGCGATGTAGCAGAGGTCAGTGGAGCCCAGCTTCTCGTAGGAGGCCAGCACGGACATTCGCTTTAGGGCACTGGCAAAATGAAAGCGCTGGTGAATTTTCAGCCCCTGAGTTTTAATACTTCGGGGGAATACTTTCTCATCTGGAAACAAATAAGCACGAGTCCTGAGTGGCTTCACTCCAGAGGCAGCCAGGCCCCGCCTGCCACCCACACCCCTGGCTCCCGCCTCCCGGGGCCTGCTGAGGTGGGTGTCTGCTGGGGCCGAGTCCCAATCCCAGGGGTCGCTGAGGCCAGGTCAGCCCCAGGTTCTTGCTGTGGGCCCACCTGCCGGTAGGGGCAGCCCAGCCTCTCACCTTTGGTCAGTGTCCAGTCCACGGCTGTCAGCATGGCCTTCTCCAGGGGGTCACCCACCAGGGTGCCATCGTCTAGCTGCATGAGGGAGTGGCATGAGGCCAGGGCCCGGTGCGTCTCCACAGGGATGCTGGACACAGGGGTCACCTCCTTCCCATCTCTGCAAGGATGTAGGGCTGTGGGCCAGGTAGGGACCACCGGCCAGGATTGCTGTGCCAGTCCCTGAGCCCCAAGCTGGCCTCCTAGGCTCCCCAGAGGCTACAAATGGCATGTGGGGTGTATAGCTGGTGCAGGCTGGAGGGGAGGGCTGAAATGAGGGTCCCTAGGGGGCAGGGCCGCTAAGCAGACTTCACCTGCAGGCTCGGACTGGGCTCGCCTTCCCAGGATCCCCTCTGCTAGGCACCTCCGAGGCCCAGGGTCCCTGCCGCTCACCTCAGCCCAGCCACGCCACGCACCACCAGGCTGTCGCTGGTCAGAGTCCCCGTCTTGTCAAAGCAGCACACCTCGACCTTGCCGGCGAAGGGGATCCGGAAGGGCTCTGTACAGTACATGTCTGGGGTGGGAGCTGGAGTCAGAGGTGTGCTAGCTCCCAACTTGACACCCCTGCCCAGTCTGGCGTACTCACAGAGCTTGGCCAAGGCGATGAGAGAGGTGTTGACAGCCAGGGACAATTCGATGGGCAGCTCAGGGGGTACGACTGAGGTGAGGATGAGGGTGCACTCCAGGAAGAGTTTATAGCGATTCCGGCTGGGGTCCTTGGTGCCTGAAGATAGGCCATGCCAGGCTGGGGCCACAGGGCCAGGGCCTAGGTGAATGGGGGGGGGGGCGGCGCTTACCCTCGATCCACACATAAGCTGCGGCTGCAATGGCGAAGACCAGGAGGAAGAGGATGAAGATGAAAGTCTCTAGGTTGTTGGCGGTCACTCTCTTCACCCCAAAGAGGATGGTGCGCAGCAGCTTGCCCTGTAGGGGTGGGGACAGAGGCTCTCCTGGGAACAGGACACTGGCCTCCCCTAGAGACTGCCAGCGCGGGATTCTCTTGCTTGAAAACCACACAGGCCCCTCTCCCGGCCACACCATGGCTGTTGTGTTGCAGACCTCAGCAGTGGCTAAGCTGTGAGAGGGAGCCCCAGAGGCCTGGCAGCACTCCACTGGGTTGTGCCAAAACATTGATTACTGGGGTTCACTTTGCATGGTGCCCCTGATGGGTGGGAACAGTTAGCTTGGTAGTCAGGCTCCCCAAGAACCTCAGGCCAGAGGGGTGCTGGATGGTGGGCTCCCTCCTGCCTTCTGGCTCTGGCAAAGTCCTAGGCCAGGTGCTCTGAGATGGGATAGCCACTGCCCATGTGCCCACTGCCAGCCCAGAGCCCACCTGCCACGGCCCCGCCAAGGGCTGCACCTGTGAGGTGTTGAACCCAGTCCGCAGGACGTAGGCCACACAGCCATTGTCAACCGCTGGGGAAAGAAAAAGGTGGGTCACCCACACCACATCATTGAGCATCCAGGGGACTGAACAGGTGGGAGGGGGCCCATCCCAGGCAGCTCTAAGGCACCTACGCTTCAGGCCTGTGGTGGCCTTTTGTGGGGCAATGTGCTGCACCACCTTGGTGCCCCCGAAGATGATGTGGAGCCGGGAGTCGGCCTGCAGGTCCAGCATGCGGTCCGGGCTGAGGTCCTCAATTGGCTCCTGGGGAGAGAGACTGTATGGAGACAGAGCCCCATAACCTGGGGCTCCGGGGCCGCGCTCTCCACGTCCTTGGAGCGACTAGCAGGTGACCACCACCCCCGCACCTTCATCTGCGGTACTGACTCCCCGGTGAGCATGGCCTCATCCACAATGCAGCGGCCGCGGAGCAGCAGCACATCGCAGGGCACCAGGTTCTCCTGCGGGGAGCGGCCTGCAGGCAGGGGCAGTGCGGTTGGCCAGAGGCCCCGGGCAAGGCTCCCACCCGCAGTGCAGAGCGGGCCTCACCGATGGACACGATGTCTCCAGGCACGATCTCATCACTGGCAATCAGCCTCCATTTGCGGCTCCGGTAGACCTGGGTGGTGGGGCAGCATCAGTGTGGTGCCTGGGCCCAGCCCTCCCCTGAGCTGCGCGATGTGCTGGGCTGTACCTGGATCATGTGGGGCTTGTTGCCCATCTTGCGGATCTCGGACATGTTCCGCATCTGCTGCTGCACCAGGGATGCCTCAAAAGCCACCAGCATGGACAGTGTGAAGACACTGTAGTACCAGTACTCGTCCAGGCACCAGAGCCCCACGCAGAACACCTGTGGGACAGGACGGCACACTTGCTGATCTGTTATTGCCCCTGCCCAGTCCCGGAAGCCCTGGGCATGAGTCTGAGGGCATGAAGCCATCCCACCCACAGGTTTGGGGTTTGGGGGTGGCGGAGAGGCTTGTTCAGGCTGTGACAGCCCCAAGGAAGAGAAAAGGGACAAAGGACCAGGCGGTTGCTTTACCTGAAACACGAAGAAAGGGGCTGTGGCCCTCTCCTTGAATAGTTCAGAGAAGTCAGGCACCACCATCTCAGCCCTGCAAGAGACCAAGGCATGCCCTGTTCCTGTACCAAGGGTACAGGGGTGCGGGTCCCACCCTCACCCCTGCCTTGGGACCTTCAGGCCCCTGGGGGAAACCATTGCAAGCTCCAGGGAGCTTTCCCATAGGTAGGCTCCACCCCACAGGGGCTGTGTCAGGAGCAGACACCAGCCCACTGGCCACACTGGCCCCCTTATGAGGCCTCGGTGGCTACAATAGGGGACACAAGTGGAAGAGGCTGAGGAGGGGTCCTGAAGTTGCAGGTGAGACTGGCTGGGGAAACTGGACACGGAGCTGAGCTCACACGGAACACAACTGGGGTTTCTAACCAAGTCCTGCCTAACAGATGCGGAATCCCCAGAGCCGGACCCAAGGCTGTCTTCTAGGGCACCAAGTATGTGGGTCAGCCCAGTCTTAGGGATCAGCCAACTAGGGCTGTCCTCGCTGTGCTCCTGAATCAAAAGGATACTCCCAGACACCTCGGGCTGGGAAAGCAGGAGAGTGCTGCACGATCTGGCATCGTGGAAGCCGCCACCACACAGCCCTGCCCACACCCTGCCAGGGGCCTGTACATGAGTGAGGGTGGCAAAGAAGAGCGGGCCATTCAGGTAGTTGAACTTGTGGCTAAGGTGCTTCCTGTACATCCCCTGTGACAGCCACAACCATGGTAGACGCTTCTTTAGTTTTCTAAAAGAGTCAGGAATCTCTGGGTAGCTCTGTGGGTTTCCAGGTTGAGGACCACAGTCATGGTGGCCAAAACAGGGCCCCAGCCCAGCCCCGCACTCATGGAGGTGTCGGGTGAAGGTCAGAAGGAGAAAGTGTGGTGCGGGGCACCTGCCACTCCCCCCAGCACACTCCAGCCTTTCCCCTTTGCACTGCAGACAGAGCCCAGGCCCTCCTGCAGCTGACAGTGTCCTGGCACTAAGCCCAGCCTGTCTCAGGTTTTTGTTTTGAAACAGGGTCTTGCTAAGTTTCCCAGGCTGGCCTTGACCTTGACATCTTTCTGCCTCAGTCTCCGAGTGGTGAGGACTGTACCTAGGCAACTATCTTTCATCCCCTGTGATGACATTCTACCACTAGGAGATAGTTTTCCTTTTTTTATTTTATTTATTTATTTATTTGTGTGTCTGTGTGTGTCTGTCTGTGTGTGTGTGTGTGTGTGTGTGTGTGGCCAGCTCAGCCCACCAGAGGGCAGGACTGGCTGGCATGTGGTGCTGGGGGATTGAACTGTGGTCCCTGTGCTAAGCTTGTTCTAAGTAGGTGCTTTAGACCACTGAGCCATCTCACCAGCCCAATAGTTTTCTTTTATTGAGGCAGGTTCTTGCCATGCAGCCCAGGTTGGTCTCGATTCAGAGCAATTCTCCTGCCTCAGCTTTCTGAGGGATAGGATGACAGGAATGTGTCACCATGCCCAGCCTCAATCGCTATGTCTAAAGGGCTAAGATAAAGTTAGGAGCACAACAGAGGGTGGAAGTTTAAACAAGGAATTTAAAATGAAGCAGTGAGTTGGGAGAGAATCGGACAGAGAGCTGACTACTGGAAGGCGGGGATAGGGGCCAGGCCCTGGGCAGGCAGGTGTTGGGGATACAGGCTCCTCACTGGTACCCTGACCCTCGGGTACCCCCGGCTGAAGGCAGGCCCCATCCACTTCTGAGGTAACCTGAAGCAGGAGCAGAGCAGAAATTTGGAAGGGACTGGAGGACACCAGGGACTCACTTGTTGCTCCCAAACTTCTTCTCGGCAGCCCGGATCTCCGAGTCCTCCTGGAACCCCCTGTGGCTCTGGTAGAAGGAGAAAGTGTTTCCCACGGGGAAGGCTACAGGAAGGAACTGCTTCTTCTCCAGGGGATCATAGGAATATTTGATCTTCTGGAATTCGAATGACAGGACCTCCAGCCCGTCTTCGCCCTGTGGGGTGAGGCGTGCTTGTGGCAGTGCCCAGGAATCTCTCTTAAGTCCTTGCTCTGGGGTCTCCCGGCAGGCAATTCCTACCTCATCTCGGTGCAGAGCCACAAGTTCGGTGGAGCCATTGTTGGGGGTTGGCACCACCTTCACGAAGGTCGCCTTGCTGGGGTTGTACTCCTGCCAGACAGGCAAAGCACCGTCACTGAGCCATCTCAGCTTATGGGTCCTTGGCCCCGCAGGAAAGAGGGGATAGCAATTCCATAGGCAATTTTGGTACACGCCTGGCCACTCCCCAAGCTGTCCCCAGGACAAGAGAAACCACTTTACAGTGCCTCTGATAAGTAGTAAAAAGCTGGGGTAATGGGCAGCACCTGACACCCAGGGATCTGATGACACAAATTTAAATGGGAAAAGTAGTTTTCGAGGTTACAGTGCACCTGCTTTGGCTATCCTCCTCCCTCCTTGCGGGTCAGATTGGAATATGCTCCTGGGTGCCTCTGGCCTCTGCTTAAACGTCACCTTCTCAGGCGCCCTTCCCGGATGTCCCATCAACAGTTTCCTCGGATCTGTTATCACTCTGCAGTACAAACTGCTGAGTGACCATTTCCTCTCGTTAACGCCACAAACGTGGCAGACTTTGCCCACTGTCCATTGCTGCTACCTAAACACAGGAAGCGCATCCTCAGTTCTGAGCTGTATCCATTCCTGGCTGCTCTGCCGGACCCTGGGATGGCTGGAGGCGAGGAGGAGGCAGGGAGCAGCACAGCAATGACCCTAACCACGCGCACCCTAACCACGCGCCATGCCCCAGGAGACCCAAGGGCCAGCAAGGTAGGCAGAGAACAACAACAAATATCAAACAATGTGGAAACCCGTGGGAGAAAAGCACGAGGCACAGAAGCGGTGCTGGGCGCGTGGTGGCTGCTTTGTGGATGTCACCTCAGCTGCTGCTTGCAGTGACACCAGGTTAGGTGTTATGGCTCTCACTTTACAGAGGTTGAAATTGAAACCCAGACAGTAGAAGCACAGAGGCAAACCCAGATCAGCCTCTCGTAATGTGGCTTGGTTCTTCCCACTGAGGAAGGGCCATCCCTGGAGAGGAAGTTCAGCTGTGGACCAGCAGGCGGGTGGAAGTCTCATGAGACCACTTCCATGACCCCCAACTTCCTTTATTTGTTCCTTGCTGGGGTCTTTCACTGTACTAACCACAGCCACCAAGCCCAGAAGTTCCTGCTCTCCCATGGGACGTCTTACTGGGGAAAAGAATGAGGACTCAGTGCATGCTGGAGGCCGGGGGTGGGGTGGGGGCTCTCTTTCCTGCAGTCCTGATGCTGTCTCCTGTCCCTTTCCTTGAAGCCAGTCCATGCCTGGGATTAGGACAGAGGGTCGCTGGAGGTATACCTCAACGTCTTTGGGTTCCAAATTTGGTGACATCTGAGTCTGGTGGTGCAGCTACTACATGTCACTTGCTGGCTGACCTCAGCTCTTTATCAGAAACTGCCTTCCGTGGTGGCACCCATTCACTCAGAACCCTGACTGAGGGTCACACACACTGCCTAGTGTACCCTGATCTCACCATCACCACGCTCCTCTTACAGAAGATGTCAGTTGTTAAGTCACTCACTCACAAAGAACTTCTGTTTATCTTAAACTCAGTGCTACTTGCATTGAGCACCCCTTTGGTCTAGCACGGAAGGGAGGCTGAGCCCTGGACAGCAGGACTTAGTTCTAGGATCAGACTTCATAGGTGGAGGAATTCATCACACAGGGATCCCTCACACTTTGCAAGGTAGGAGGCACTGGGGTGGAGGGCAGGGCCGTTTCCAAGGGAAGAATACTCGCTGCTCAAGAATTGGCATTACCACATCCTGTCGGATAGCGACCGGTGCTAGGCTCTGCGCTTAGCCTTTTGCAGACATCAGGCTTCGTGACCTTAAATGACCACAGCAGGAAGGAATTCCACAGATAGGAGTAGAGGAACCCATATCGCGGTAGGGACAGACTCTGAGCCCAAAGGCAGAGGGGAAGGGGCCGCTGCGGACCCAGGCCTAGCGGACGGGAGGCTCCGGACGGCCTAGGGCCCCGCGGAGAGGCCGGATGCTAGCGGGGGTCGGGCTTGTGAACGTGCACTTACCGGGGTGCAAGTGAGCGCGCAGTGCGCGTGCACGGACCAGTGCCCCGAGAGAACGGTGAGCGCGTGCGCGAGGCAGATGGTGGCGAGTACCAGCAGCGCGGCCTCGGGGATCTGAGCCCAGCTGCTTCCCCAACCCCAGCAGCCGGCGGCCGCGGCGCCCAGCCAAGCCGGGTAGAGGAGCCCGGCGAAAGGCAGCACGGTGAGGCGCCGCAGAAGAGCCAGCCGCCGGTACGGCCACACGGCGGCCACCAGCTCGTCGCCGCTCGCTATGAGGGCCGGGCCGGCGGGAAGCAGGGCACGCGGCTGCGGCCCGGGCCTGGGCTGCCCGCCAGGCCGGGCGCCGCCAGGCCGGGCCCCACAGGGCACGGCATTCCCCACCGCCGCCATCTTTCCCCCAGCCCGGGGCTCGCTTCCGGGAGGAGGCCCCGCCCCATTTCCGCTAGGATACTTCCGGCGAGCGCTGCGCTCTACCATGATAGCCGCTGTAGTGGAAACCGCCTCGCTAACTCAGGCGGCTAAGCCCGGAAGTGGTTAATTAGGGCGTCGCCATGACAGTCTGTGGCAGGAAAGAGCGGTAGGGCGCCGCCATGATGGAAAGGGCCAGAAAAGTTTAGGGCTATCTGCCCGTGCTGCCACGCCAGATTATGACCGGAAAAGACGAGCGCCACCTTGACAACCCGAACCCTTCTGAGGTGACAGCACCAAGGGCCAATCAATGAAGGGCCTTCAGGGGCGGGCTTAGCATGGAGGCGGGCCTTGTGGGAGTAGGTCTCTGGGGCGGGCCCCCGTTATGGGGCGGGGCTTGTGAGGGCCGGCCCTGTGGGCGGGGTATAGGGCAGGGTTCTGCCGAAGGTGTGGGATTTGTGGGGGCTGAGCGTGTGGGTCTGGTGCTCTCTAGGGTTGGGGTTTGTGAAGGTGGCCCCTGAAGTGGGACGAGGCTTATGAGGCTGGTCCCACAAGGGCGGGTCCTCTGTGGGGGTGGGGCTGTGGGGGTGGGGCTTGTGAGGGTCGTCTTGATCCTTAGTTGGAGGAGCCGGGGATTGAACTCAGGCCCCTGCGCTTGCCAGGCAAGCTTTTATTCTACTGAGCCATCTCCCCGGGCCCTGGTCCTTAGTTCTTTTTTTTTTTTTTTAAAGTTTATTTATTTATTTGTTGTGTGTGTGTGTGTGTGTGTGTGTGGCCAGCTCAGCCCACCAGGGGGCAGGGCTGGCTGGCATGTGGTGCTGGAGGATCGAACCGCGGTCCCTGTGCTTTGCTTGGCTTGTTCTAAGTAGGTTCTTTAGACCACTGAGCCATCTCACCAGCCCCGGTCCTTAGTTCTTGACAAGGACCCAGCGGAGGTCTCCAGGGCATGCAGGCCAAGGCTCCAGAAGATGGCTGCGGGACCCAGAGGAAACCATCCACTTTCGCTTTCTAATTCTAACAGGGATCGGCCGGAGGTTATAGGGTGCTGTAGGTGACTCCTCCCCATCCCACCCATTCACTTCTCTCTCTTTTCTGCAGGCCAGAACATGGCACTCCCTATCTCTGCCTTCTGCCCAGCCCAGCCCCTGTCAGGTGCCCTGCAGCTGTGATCTCACTGGGCAAGGGGCATGTCCCAGCCCTGGTGATCCACTCTGCTTGTGCCGGGGTAGGTGTGGGCAGCAGTTGAAGCTGGGGATTGACTGCACATGTGGGACTGAGGCAAGGCCAAGCCTGAGAACACGGAATGCCTGAGATGAGTCCTTCAAACAAGCTGACAGGCAGGTGGGTGTCATGTGATACTAACCTGTGCAGTGTGTAAGTGCAGTTCTTTTTTCCAATCTGGAGAGAGCTCCACCTGACCTCAGCTTTCTGCATTCTAACTCTTGTCATCATGTCTTCCTCCATTCTCTGCCTCCTGGAAAGTTTGAGAGTGTGCTGGATGTGGGACCCCAGGAGTGGGGGAATGGAGATTAGAGGGATGTGGGGTTTGGGGCTTGGGGCAGGGACCTCTTCCTGTGGGTGCCCAAAGTGTCGGGTTCCTCCCATGTCTTCCTGCACATTGCGGGAGACCCTGAGAGTCAGCACATGTGCTCCCACTGATCCAAACCAGGGACTGCCAGCCCTCGCTTAAGCCAGGTTTTGCTCTTTTTTTTTTTTAATTTTAATTTTTACCAGTACACGTTTGCAGTAATAACAGTTACACACATTGACAGGAGTTGGTGCCTGGAACACTTTTGTCTTCATCCTTTTTACATTCCCTCCCTTCCTCCCTTTATTGTCTCTCCATTCCTTTGTTCCCTTTCTCACATGCAAAGTACCTCTGTTTCCTGTTATCCTTTATTTTCCTTATGTGTACAGAAACCATGCAATACTAAAGGTTGTGTGATTGCTTTAGTTTATGGTCTCAAGAGTACATCTACTTTGTTTTTTTTTTTTTTTAATT